AAAAAAAAACAAAAAAAAAAAAAAAAAACACAAGGGGGTTAAAAGTTCTGGTGATCAAAGCTCTGCATCTAGCCAGTATTACCCAGAATGCACCAATTCACTGAAACCCAAAACAGAAATCTCCTGGGTGCATCACAATACATTACACTTAGCGGTCAGACCGACTTCGCTTCCCTCGCCACACGTCCCTGAGTCCCGTCAAGAAGATTTCTGCGTGAGATGATGAACCGTCGACAGCGGAGGGAAGATTCGACAGAAGACTCTTCAATTTTACCACATTCTTTACCTTCATCTCCTTCCCTTCCTCTCATCGGTTCCTGGTTTTACCAAACACGAGCAGAAAATGAGGATAAAAACCGAAACTTTACTCTGAAACTGATCGCAGGCCGTCGATCTGAGGGGTTACACAACAACACTCGATGAGCAAAGTGCTTATTGTTAAACAGTGCTGCCGTCACACGGATGAAAGGTGGAAGAGCAGAATATGAGGCTGGTTAATAAATTTACCGCAGCGATGTCGTACCATGAACAGCACACTTCTTCCTCACGTGACACTCGACCAGTTCGGCCTGATGAAAACCAGAATTTAACAAATTTGGATTGAGGTTGAGAGAAATTAAGAATGTATTAACAACTCAGATCGTGCATTTAGCAATAAAAGGCATTTCAAAAAGTGTCAAAAATATTATTTCACCAAAATATGCTCTAGTCCTAAATTCGTAGCACCACCTTCGCTTCCCTCTTCACCAGCTGGTTCCCTTTGAAATCACTGTCAGTTCTTTCCTCCTGCTTCCACCCACTCTTATTTGTCATTAAAATATCTTCACTTTCTCCAAAAGCCACACGAAACGTATTTAACAGAGCGTCAATCTCTGCGATACAAAACACCTCCAGTATCTCGGTTCTTCTCCTTCAGTACCAGGTGAGTAGACAGAGAAAATGTGCTTCTGTGGAACAACTCTGGTTTGAAAATAGTTCATTTACACACTTCCTCCACCCGCACACGAACACAGGGTAAGGCAATTCAACTGCACTTCAGAGAGGGGGGGGGGGGGGTAGAAATGCTACAACTTTTATATAACTCAAATTATTCAAAATACTTCATTGCTAGTTTTTGATCTCTTCAAACTCCACAGCGCTCGCTCCCTCAGTCTCAGACTGGATGTCGTCAGTTCACACAGGGTCAGTCGCAGGGCTTGTGCTGTTAAAGCAGCGTGCAGAACATTCATCACATCGAGTGCACAAGGGAATCGACAGGCGCGTTTGGCAGCAGAGCACCGATTCCAGTTCCAACTGTGTGTGGGTGGGTGGGGGGTTGAGGGGTGCGGGGTGGGTGGGGAGTGGTGGGACTCGGGCCGACACAGGCACACCACAAAACTGTGGGTAGAAAAATAAAAACATAGAAACGTCACCGTTGAGTTTCCTGTGCAGAGTGTAACAGCCGTTTCCTCGAAGGCTGAGCCGCAGTCATTAAGCCTGACCACCTCCACTGGGCGGGGGGAAAACACCCGGGAACCATCGAGCCCCCGTGGATGGGTGGGGGGGGGGCTGACTAGATCGCACCGAGCGTCAAGATGGATGACGTTCTTGAAACCGGAATCGTGAGCTCCGAGTCCGTCCTCAGTTGGACTTTGTGTGTTTTCCAAAGTGGTTACAGGAGAAGAAGATTCAGTTCTTCCAGGAGAAGAAGCCACAACAAGAGTCTTCAATGTGTTCTTTGTCCATAGTGAGGCTTTCCTCCCGGTCTGTGCCAGGAGGGTGCAGAGTGCTGGCTGGGGGCTCCGCAGTGAGGGCTGATGGGAGATGTTTGTGGTGCAGCACTGAAATCCAAGTCCATCCAGACCACTCGAGCCCCTCCCTGTAATACTTCAACAGCAATCAGAGGAGAACATGAGCAAAGACGTCAACATTTCACATTAAGACACAGATCAGCTTCATAAAAACCAAAAAAAACAAAGCTTTGGCTTCTCTGATGTGAGGATTCGTTTCAGTTTAACTTTTGAGTTTTGCACGTTCTTCAGAAAAATTTACAGAAGTCGCTTTGTGCTCTGGTAAAATGTGACATCATCTGTCACCATTAATTAGCATTTCATAGATAAACAAAAAAAGGTTAAAGATTAAATGATTAATCAATAATGAAAAAAATATCTGCT